AGTAAAGTGTTACCATTTATTTGCTTACCTTAATCCAGCGTCGGGCTCCCTCGGCACTGGTGACCTCTCCTCCATCGACGTCAGCTTCCGAGTGGAGCCGAATGCGCATTCACGGCCAGAGGCGCGCGCGCACATTCAAACCCGCCCATAGGAAAGCATTACTCAATGCTTTCCTATGGGGATAATTTTTGACGCTGGACTTCGCAAGGACGTCCAGCGTCAAATAAGTGTGATTTACTCAGGGAGACAGCCACTAGAGGATTGATTAACCATGCCGTGTAAACATAGCAGTTTCTCTAGAGGTTCTGGTGACTATAGTGCCCCTTTAAGAATTGTATTTTTGTTGAAAATTAAGCTTTTTTTAGCTGGCTCCTCTATTACAACCAAATTCGGCAAGCCCTGATTTACCATGTTTGAATTTTTACTGGCCTAGGGCTAAATTTTCACTTGCCAATGGGTCGGCAAGTGGAAATTTTAAGCCAAGCAGTAGACATTCATAAACCACTTGGAAAGCAATATCATAGAATCCCTCAATTAATACCATTGTTTATATAATAACAGACACTTTCTCTCTCATATTATCCTTATTGTAATTTTTTAGGTAATAGAAATAATCATATCACGATATAGGCCTCAATGTAATAATCCAAATGATTCAATACTGTTACAAAGCTTTTCCCAAATTATTCATATTAAAAAAAATGTAAAACAAATATCACCTTTTAATTAAATTATCTGAAAACCTTTCAGATGCCTCCATATACAATCTGCTATATACAATGAATGCTTGCTGAGTCCTTTATAAAGTACTGTACACACACTGTCTGCTTGGCTGGTCTTTATTAACTATTAGCTAGAAGGGAAGGTTTCCTGCTAAATCCAGAGGTCACCCATCCTCCATTACATAGAAAGTATCTACCTAAAGCAGGTATGGCGGCCAGGGAAGTATGGGGAGATCTATCACTCACATTGTGCATGGTCATTGGTCTCTCAGCTCAGGCGCCATCACTCACACTCCATTTCCATGTGCACTCAGCAGAGGATACACTGTAACATAGAGAGCATGGGAGGGAGGAGAGTGGACTGCCACACCCTCTCTAACCCTGGGTACTATCACAGTGTAATAATTATATAGGGTGATTATTATTATTATTATAAACAGTGTAATATTTATATATAGTGATTATTATTATTACAAACAGTGTAATATTCATATATAGTGATTATTATTATTATAAACAGTGTAATATTTATATATAGTGATTATTATTATTACAAACAGTGTAATATTCATATATAGTGATTATTATTATTATAAACAGTGTAATATTTATATATAGTGATTATTATTATTACAAACAGTGTAATATTCATATATAGTGATTATTATTATTATAAACAGTGTAATATTTATAAACAGTGCCTGGTATTGTTACATCATGTAATATTTATATAGACTTAGAGTGATTATTATTACAAACAGTGTAATATTTATATAGAGTTATTATTATTATTATTATTATTATTACAAACAGTGTAATATTTATAAATAGTGCCTGTTATTGTTACATCATGTAATATTTAAGCAGAGTTGTTATTATTATTACAAACGGTAATATTTATATAGAGTGATTATTATTACAAACAGAGTAATATTTATATATAGTGCCTGTTATTATTACAAACAGGGTAACATTTATATAGAGTGATTATTATTACAAACAGGGTAATATTTATATATAGTGCCTGTTATTATTACAAACAGTGTAATATTCATATATAGTGATTATTATTATTATTATTATAAACAGTGTAATATTTATATATAGTGATTATTATTATTACAAACAGTGTAATATTCATATATAGTGATTATTATTATTATAAACAGTGTAATATTTATATAGAGTTATTATTATTATTATTATTATTATTACAAACAGTGTAATATTTATAAATAGTGCCTGTTATTGTTACATCATGTAATATTTAAGCAGAGTTGTTATTATTATTACAAACGGTAATATTTATATAGAGTGATTATTATTACAAACAGGGTAATATTTATATATAGTGCCTGTTATTATTACAAACAGGGTAACATTTATATAGAGTGATTATTATTACAAACAGGGTAATATTTATTAGGGAATGACCGATTATCGGTTTTCCTGATATTATCTGCCAATATTCCTTGGCCCTTCTCTCATTTATTCTCTGTCTGCTTGCAGAAATTTCATATACCTGCCTCAGGCACTAACCAGCCACTCTAAGGACCGGTACGTGTACCTTTACTGTTTCCTTTAGGTTTGCGTGTTAGGGTAACTCTATTCCTGACATTTATATAGTATATGCTATTACCACCAGTGCTGTCTTATTATTATTATTATCGCCATTTATATAGCGCCAACAGATTCCGTAGCGCTTTACAATATTATGAGAGGGGGGAATTTAACTATAAATAGGACGATTACAAGAAAACTTACAGGAACAATAGGTTGAAGAGGACCCTGTTCAAACTAACTTACAGTCTACAGGAGTTGGGGTATAAAACACATTAGACAGGAAATAGCAATCAAATAATGTGGGAGTGAAGCAGAGCTGGAGGAGAGAGTAGAGTGCTGCCCTTTAGGAGAGAGCAAGAGACAGGTATGTAAGGTAGAGGTTACTCTGGGAGGCCCTAAGCTTTCCTAAAGAGATGGGTTTTAAGGCACTTTTTAAACGATTGAAGACTAGGGGAGAGTCTGAGAGCGGTAGGCAGGCTATTCAGTAGGAAGGGAGCCGCCCGCGAGAAGTCCTGCAAGCGTGAGTTGGCCGTACGGGTGCGAGCAACGGACAGGAGAAGGTCATGGGCACAGCGGAGAGACCATGAAGGAGCATACCTATGGATATGTGAAGAGATATAAGAGGAGCTAGAATTGTTCAGTGCTTTATAGGTATGGGTTAGCACTTTAAATTGACTCCTATAGGATACAGGAAGCCAATGTAAGCACTGACAGAGGGGTGAGGTGTGAGAGGACTGACTAGAGAGGAAAATCAGTCTGGCAGCAGCATTCATTACAGACTGTAGAGGGGCAATACGGCTGTTGGGAAGACCAATTATGAGAGAGTTACAATAATCCATGCAGGAAATTACTAGAGCATGGACAAGCACCTTGGTAGCATCTTGCGTAAGAAAGGGGCAGATGCGGGCTATGTTTTTAAGATGGAATCTACAGGATTTGGCTACATACTGGATGTGAGGCACAAAGGTGAGGCCAGAGTCAAGAATGACGCCAAGACAGTTTGCAAGGATGGACTTATGTGGATACCACTAACTTGAAGTGAGAACGAAAGAGGAGGATCAGTATTAGGAGGAGGCAAGACAAGGAGCTCAGTTTTAGAGAGATTTAGTTTTAGAAAGCGGAAGGAGAAAGGCAAGCAGTGACACGTTGCAGGACTGCATGGAAGAGGTCCAGCGAGGAGAGATATATCTGGGTGTCATCAGTGTACAGGTGGTAGTGGAATCCAAAAGAGGTAATACGTTTGCCAAGAGAGGCAGTATAAAGAGAAAATAGAAAGGGACCAAGGACAGAGCCTTGGGGGTCTCCAACTGAGGGGAGAAGGTATAATTAGAAAAGGAGACACTGAATGAGCATTGGGATAGATAGGAGCAGTGTGTGAGGGGTGCATTGTCTGTGATGGGTGCTATGTGTGAGGCATGCTGTGTGTGTGCGCGGGTGTGCATTGAGTATGTGTCAGACGTGCATTGAGTGTGTGTCAGGGGCGCATTGAGTGTGTTAAAGGGGCGCATTGTGTGTGTGAGTGGTGCATTGTGTGTGTGAGGGATGATTAGTGTGTGTAAGGGGCGCATTGTGTGTGTGGGTAGTGCTATGTGTGTGAAGGGTACTATGTGTGAAGGATGCTGTGTGTGTGTGTGTGAGGGATCCTGTGTGTGTAAGGGGTGCATTGTGTGTGAATGGTGCAGTGTGTATGTAAGGGGTGCAGTGTGTGTGTGCGGTGTGCTGTGTGTGTAAGGGATGCTGTATGAGTGTGTATGCTCGCGGGAGGAATCTACAGCCACCTGGGTCATAGCATCTTTAAAACTGCAGGTCTTTCCTGGAGTGTTTCTGATAGACATGTGCAATTTGTATTTAAATTTATACGAATTTCGGCAATTCAGACATTCGGATGCTTCCGAATGTCTGAAGTGCTGAAGTGCTGAATTTGTCTGTATGCCAGCCAGAGTGTGTGTGAGCCTGTCAGTTTGTGTGTACGAGCATGTTGTCAGAGTGAGTGTGCAAACCTGTCAGTGTGTGTGTGTGCGTTTAGGTACCTGCCCCCTCCGATTACATGATGAAGGTGTTTTTACTCACTCATTCTTTATGATCTCTTTCCCTTAGGAAAGCACTGGGAGGATTCTGTGCATGTGCAGCAAATGTGCCAATCCGCATCTCCTCATATAGATGCATTGAATTAATGAATCTCTATGAGGAACATTCAACACCTCCATGCAGAGCTTGGAGACACTGAATGTGGGTGCTAGACGTGGTACAGCAGTGACCCAGGACTCTCTAGTGATCGTCTGAGTGACTGTCGCTAGAGGTGTTACTAAACAGCAATGTAAACACTGCATTGTTTTACTGAAAAGGCAGTGTTGACACTGAAAAGCCTGCAGGGACAGACTGTAGACACCAGGACAACTACTTCTAGCTGTAGTGGTTCTGGTGACTATAGTCTCCCTTTAGGAATTGCATTTTTCTCATTGAAAATGACTGGCTGCTAACTTTTTTAGCTGGCTCCTAGATTCCAAATAAATTTGTCAAGCCCTGCTATATACGTCAAACAGACGTCTATTGATCTTTCTATGTTAATTTACCTTTACTGTGAGCACATTATACATTGTGCTCATTTTGTTCTAAATTTACACAAATTATTTTTTTCTTCATCAGGGATTCGTAAATTTGTTCTCAAATTCCTCTCAACGCAACCAGTGGGATCAATAAGCTATCAGGGGGTTTATGTTTTCAGATACCTGCGGGGGAAATGGGGCCAATCGACCCTGCAATATGAAAACTCGTCAGAACAAAGACTCAGTGAGTATGAGCATGCATACTATTCACACTCAGTGAAAGACCCAGGTACTGTGTAAGATTAAAGACAGAACAAGATCTAGACACAAACAACACATCATAGATATAGTGAAGCGTAGACCCAAAAACCACATAAGAAACAGAGCTAGGCTCAGACCCAAACACCAAGTCAGAGACAGAGCTAGGCTCAGACCCAAACACCAAGTCAGAGACAGAGCTAGGCTCAGACCCAAACACCAAGTCAGAGACAGAGCTAGGCTCTGACCCAAACACCAAGCCAGAGACAGAGCTAGGCTCAGACCCAAACACCAAGCCAGAGACAGAGCTAGGCTCAAACCCAAACACCAAGTCAGAGACAGAGCTAGGCTCAAACCCAAACACAATGTCAGAGACAGAGCTAGGCCCAGACCTAAACACCAAGCCAGAGACAGAGCTACGCCCAGACCCAAATACCATGTCAGAGACAGAGCTACGCCCAGACCCAAACACAATGTCAGAGACAGAGCTACGCCCAGACCCAAACACCAAGCCAGAGACAGAGCTACGCCCAGACCCAAACACCATGTCAGAGACAGACCTAGGCTCAGACCCAAACACCAAGCCAGAGACAGAGCTAGGCTCAAACCCAAACACCAAGTCAGAGACAGAGCTAGGCCCAGACCCAAACACCAAGTCAGAGGCAGAGCTAGGCCCAGACCCAAACACCATGTCAGAGACAGACCTAGGCTCAGACCCAAACACCAAGTTAGAGACAGAGCTAGGCCCAGACCCAACCACAATGTCAGAGACAGAGCTAGGCCCAGACCCAAACACCAAGTCAGAGACAGTGCTAGGCCCAGATCCAAACTTTAAGTCAGAGACAGAGCTAGGCTCAAACCCAAACACCAAGTCAGAGACAGAGCTAGGCTCAAACCCAAACACAATGTCAGAGACAGAGCTAGGCCCAGACCCAAACACCAAGCCAGAGACACAGCTACGCCCAGACCCAAAAACCACATAAGAAACAGAGCTAGGCTCAGACCCAAACACCAAGTCAAAGAAAGAGCTAGGCCCAGATCCAAACACCAAGCAGGAGACAGAGCTAGGCCCAGACCCAAACACCAAGTCAGAGACAGAGCTAGGCTCAGACCCACACACCAAGCCAGAGACAGAGCTAGGCTCAAACCCAAACACCAAGCTAGAGACAGAGCTAGACTCAAACCCAAACACCAAGTCAGAGACAGAGCTAGGCTCAAACCCAAACACAATGTCAGAGACAGAGCTAGGCCCAGACCCAAACACCAAGCCAGAGACAGAGCTACGCCCAGACCCAAACACAATGTCAGAGACAGAGCTACGCCCAGACCCAAACACCAAGCCAGAGACAGAGCTAGGAGCAGACCCAAACACCAAGTCAGAGACAGAGCTAGGCCCAGACCCAAACACCAAGCCAGAGACAGAGCTAGGCTCAAACCCAAACACCAAGTCAGAGACAGAGCTAGGCTCAAACCCAAACACCAAGCCAGAGACAGAGCTAGGCCCAGACCAAAACACCAAGTCAGAGACAGAGCTAGGCTCAGACCCAAACACTAAGTCAGAGGCAGAGCTAGGCTCAGACCCAAACTCCACGTCAGAGACAGAGCGAGGCCCAGACCCAAACACCATGTCAGAGACAGAGCTAGGCCCAGACAAAACACCAAGTCAGAGACAGAGCTAGGCCCAGACCCAAACACCAAGTCAGGGACAGAGCTAGGCCCAGACCCAAACACCAAGTCAGAGACAGAGCTACGCCCAGACCCAAACACCAAGTCAGAGACAGGGCTATGCCCAGACCCAAACACCAAGTCAGAGAGAGAGAGAGCTAGGCCCAGACCCAAACACAAAGTTAGAGACAGAGTTTGGCCCAGACCCAAACACCAAGTCAGAGACAGAGCTAGGCCCAGACCCAAACACCAAGTCAGAGACAGAGCTACGCCCAGACCCAAACACCAAGTCAGAGACAGAGCTATGCCCAGACCCAAACACCAAGTCAGAGAGAGAGAGCAAGACCCAGACCCAAACACCAAGTCAGAGAGAGAGAGCAAGGCCCAGACCCAAACACAAAATTATAGACAGAGTTTGGCCCAGACCCAAACACAAAGTTAGAGAGAGAGCTAGGCCCAGACCCAAACACCAAGTCAGAGACAGAGCTACGCCCAGACCCAAACACGAAGTCAGAGACAGAGCTATGCCCAGACCCAAACACCAAGTCAGAGAGAGAGAGAGCAAGGCCCAGACCCAAACACCAAGTCAGAGAGAGAGAGCAAGGCCCAGACCCAAACACCAAGTCAGAGAGAGAGAGCAAGGCCCAGACCCAAACACAAAGTTATAGACAGAGTTTGGCCCAGACCCAAACACCAAGTCGGAGAGAGAGCTAGGCCCAGACCCAAACACTAAGTTAGAGAGAGAGAGCTAGGCTCAGACCCAAACACAGTTAGGGATCAAGTTCCAGACCCAAATAGTTTGATATACCAGTTAGAGTTAAAAACATACCTGACCTCAGATCCAGACACTGTGAGTCAGTGGCAATCAAAGCTGGAATCAGAACTGTGACATCACACAAAACCCCAGAGACATAGCAGGTCATAGACTCAAACATTGTGACATCATCACACAGTGAGTCAGAGATAGAGCTGTGTAGATACCCAAACACTGTGTGTCAGAGACGGAACTCTTCAGTACAGTCATTAAATCTGGTATAGGAATGTGTTTCACAGCTACAGTCAGTTGGATATTGGAATACATATGATTTTCTATCTCTAAAACAGGATGTGGTCACAGGCCATGGATAAAAATAAGGAGATGCAGAGATAAAGGAATTTATTCACTAAAGAGCTGCAATAAATTGACATTTTAAAAAATGTAAGCCAACATAAGCATGGAAATATCCACCAATTTATCAAGATTTTTTCTTTGTTTTCCACACCTGTTTTCCAGTTCAGCAAAATTCCATTTGCAGTGAATAAATCCCTTGTTGTCATACTTTGAGTTATCCTAGACTAGATGTAGCTTCTGGAGTGCATGACCCCTGTACCAGTAGCTACAGCCCCGTCTCTATGTAGGGAGATCTGCATAGTGGTATGGGTTGGAGAGTCTTGGCCACTTTGGCACGAAGTAGAATAGTTTGAGAGAAATGAATGTAGACAAATGAAATGAAACCAAGGATCCTGGTGGAGTCATGAACCTCACAGTGCTGATGCTGGAAAGTGCAATTTTCAAAAAACAAAGAATAGGAATTTCAAGAATAGAAAGTTTCAATAGAGGATTCTCCACTCACCATAGGTTGTTACACATACAATGGTATGAGATTGATCACTTGAATGGAATGAGATTTATAATAACCTGTAGAGCAAATTTCATCTATATGTAGTGTGTTAAAGAAGTCCTGGGCACAGTGTGCATGGATAAGCTTACACAGAAGCACATGAAAATTTTCCTCCATGATGTTTGATTTGTCTTCCTGGGAAGATGTCAATGAGGAGCGGTAGGAGAAAGGAGAGTGTGGGCCCCCGGGAGGAACGCAGAGCAAGGGGACGAGCCTCACCTGGAGCAATCAGCACTTCGAGTAGTGACAGCAAAAGTGAGAAAGCAAGGCCAAGTGGAAAGGTGATGGTAAGTATAGGAGAGTAAACTGGGAAGAAAGACCGTAGCTGGGTAGAAGCACAGGAGAGCAAACCTATGGGAAGAACAAAGTAGGTGGGAGAGGTGGGTGGTGAAGGAATTAAAAAGGTGACCATAGAACTAGGAGAGGAAATGGTGAGGGAGAAGGGTGGTCTTTGTACTGACATGATGGTGGTGATTATTTCATTGATAAGGTTAGTCAGTGCTGAGGAATGGATGTTAATGGACCTTAGAGGTAATTAGGAGAAGGTGCTATAGGAGTTGGTAAAGGGGTGTATTGAAGTTAGGTAAGAAGTAAAGAGAGCTACCTGGAGCTTGAAATAGGTTGCTAAAAGAACTAGGGATGTAGTAGTGATACAATTTAGGGAGGGGAATGTGATAGAGAAGAGGTGCTAATAGATATAGTGGTGGGGTGTTGGTAATGATTTTGGAGATGGGATGATAATAGAGCTAGGAAGATGGGATGGTGATAGAATTTAGCAAGGAGTTGCTTATAGAGCTAAGGATAGGATGGTGATAAAGCTATGGAGCATATGCCATTTGGATCAAGATGATTTTAGAGCTACAGTACCAAATGAGCCAGTACCAAATAAGAGGTGGTGATTGAGCCAGGGGTGGAATGTTAGTGCCGTTTCACAAGTATGTGGTGATAGAGTTAGAGATAGAATGTTGGTGCAATTTGATAAGGAGGTGGTGATAGAGCCAGGGGTGGAATGTTAGTGCAGTTTTACGAGGAGGTGGTGATAGAGCCAGGGGTGGGGTGTTGATTCAGTTTGATGAGGATTTGGTGATTTAGCTAGGGATGAGATCATGGTGCAGTTTGATGAGGAGGTGGTGATAAAGCTAGGTTCAAGTTGATAGTGATAGAGCTTGATGATGAGGTGATAATAGAGTTCTTGGTTCAGTTTGGCAATGGGGTGCTGATAGAGCTAGGGAGGTGATGGGTTTTAGGGAAGGAGTTAGGAATATGCTGGTGATGCGATTTGGTAAGTGGGTTGGTAACAGAACTGGTGAGCTGGCTGTTATGGAGATGGAAGAGAGAATACAGGTAAAGTTGGGGGTAGGTAGTAATGGTTTTGGGGTGAGGTAGTGGGGATTGAAGATTGGTTGGTGATGAATCTTCAAGCTAACAATTGTAACACTGCTTAAAAACAAAATGGTTGATGGAGCTGCCAGTGTGGAATAAAAGAAAAATGTGATTTTGATTTTTCTTTCCCCTCATAGAAGGGACGGATGGATGATTCTGTATCTAAGAGCAGTAAACGAGACAGAGTAAAAGATTCATCTGAGAGTGAGGGAGAAGCAGAGAAAACCGAAAAGAAAGTAAAGATGGAGGTAAGGTTCTCATTCGTATAAGGAGAAGATTACTAGAATGTAAAAAAGTTATTTACTCCATCAAATGTTTCACATTGACATGAAAATCCATTCAGAATAAGTGCCAGAATTCCATGTAGGATGAGAAATCAGGATGGTCAGAAATGAAGGCTGAAAGTGACCCTATCTTATAATTTACGATTAATTTATGATATATGTACTTAATGAACATGTGCAGTATATGGATATACTATAAGGACAGTTCAACTACAGCTCCCTTGTTTGCTTCCCGGTGACAACAATTATTTTGGAGAAACACTGCAGATTATGGCCTTAATTTTAATACCTTTTCATACGCTTTTCAAATGATTTAATATGTTTGTATATATATATATTTTATTTCATATTAATTTCAAAAATGTTCAAATTGCGAAAATTATATTGTACATAAATTATATCAGTTTATCAAAAAATATTTTTTTAAATATTAAATCATTTGAAGAGCTTGTCCAAAAATATTCAGGCCTAGGTTTGAGGAGCAAAACTACAACTAATTAGCTAAGCCAAAAGCTAGCATTTGCTTTGTCTTTTGAAGAACGCTTAATATTAGTGCATGTAACCTCTATATGTAACCTCTATAATATATTCTTTTGTTTCATATTGCAGTCGCTATAACTCACCATATTGACCCATTTAATTCCTCTTAAAAAATGCACCCTAATCATAAATTCCTCTGTTATTTAGTGTTAACCCTTTGTATAACTTATTGGGTTACTACATGTTACAGCTCCTCATAACTCCTGCTGTTACTCCATGCTATACCTCCCTATAACTCCGCCTGTTACTCCATGTTATACCTCTCCATAACTCTGCCTTTTACTCCATGTTACACCTCCCTATAATGCCTCCTGTTACTCCATGTTACACCTCCCTATAACGCCTCCTGTTACTCCATGTTATGTGCCTTATGCTTCTTTATAGCTCTTTACTGTACTTAATATCATGATTTCCTATGAATCCTAATGTTGCTTCACATCACCATTCCCTATAAAACCTCTTCTACTGCCCATTTGTTTAAAGTAAACTTTCTTAATAAAATAATAGAGTGCATGTGTAGTAATCTATAAACACACACTTTCTTTGCAGTCTCCTGAGGTCCCACGTCCCCCACCAGATGAGGAAAGCCTGGATGGCCAGAGCTGTAATGAGGATGGTGGCAGCGACCCACGTGACATTGACCAGGATAACCGTAGCACATCTCCAAGTCTGCACAGTGGAGATAGCGAGAGTGATGCCTCTTCTGTTCCATCCCCAAAATCCTTCCCATCTTTATACAGGGGGCCTAACTCACCTCAGCCCCCAAACTCGCCAATTCCCGAGGTTCCTATTCTGCCACCCACCTCTCAAACCCCACAACCAGTTTCACAAAATGAACTTCCAACTGCCCGAAGCTATCAAGCCCCACACCTTCCACAACTATATCCCAGCAACAGTGGGGTTGTGAAAGCTGGGCCTCAACAACCTGCGCAGGCAAAGCCACCTCCTACCACACCCATTGCAGGTTTGGGCTCTCCTAGACCCCAGCAGGGTTCTCCCACGGCCTCTGCTAGTGTGTCTACCTGCTCTTCTTCCTCTACATCTTATCCTCATGTGTCTCACAACCTTCCACCTCCCCCTGCACTTCGTCCTCTTAATGCCTCCCCTGGACTTTCTCCACAAGTAGGAGAAAAGGCTGGACAACCTCTACCTCCTGCACCATGTACCCTCCGGTACCCACCTTACCCAAGCCAATACCCATCTGGTTATCCCCACCCCTACCCACCACAAGGCAAATATGGACAGCCTCAACCAGGTCCACACCAAACCTGGGCTCAAAGTGGCATAAATTACAGTCGAACTGGGGGTGGTCCCCATTACCCTCAACCACCTCCCCAGAATGGACAAGTGGGTGGTGGACAAAATATTGCTGGCGGATTCACAGCCTCCCACCATGGTGGCACCAGGACTCAGTCCCCTCTTAATAACCACCCTCCACATCCAATACCTCCTGCTGGGCATATTCAGTCAGCAGGGTCCCAGGGCAGTGTTCTACACACACATGGAGGGGCTACAACAGCCAGGGGGCAGTCCCCTAACCATCCCTCAACAAATCCACATCATCCCCACATCCTGCCAAACAGAGGGCGCTCCCCCACTTCACAGAGTACTCTGCCTCCTAGTAGCACACCTCAAACAGGACACCACCCACCTCAGATTCAGCCAGGGGGGCTTATTTCATCAAATGCACCCCTTCAAAGCAGCGGTCAGCATACAGTTGCAGGAGGAGGAAATGGTGGTGGACAATCACCTGCACCAACTAACTCTTCCCATATTTTACCCCAACCCTCTTCTGGAGGGGGTAATTTAGGGTTCCCATCACAGACAGAGAACCAACAGCCCACACATCCCATTTATCAGCCTCATTCTTCCCCTTCAGTTTGTAACTATCCCAACAATTCTCAAGCGTATAATACTAACTTCCCTTTCCAAGGCTATAAGGGGCCACCTCCACCTGCTCCTCCCTACAAAAGTGGGCCTCCACCGCCTTATAAGGCAGGATCTTTTCCAACCTCTACCCCACCCCCTCTCCCTGCCCAAAGTTATAAGGAGACTTCACCTCCATCCTCTGCACCCCCTCCTGCACCTCCTGCACCTCCTGCACCTCCTCCACCAGCTCCTACAGTGGTGCAAATAAAACAGGAACCTCCTGAAGAGTGTGAAGGGGAAGGGGAAAGTCCAGTCCCACCAGTCACCAGCCCCTCGCCACCACCAAAGCTTGTGGACACACCAAGTCATGCCAGCCAGTCTGCCAGGTAAGGATATGAGACCATGACGATAGTTTATAGACAAGTTGCAGGAGAGAAAAAATAAATGAAAACTTGAATGGTAAGGATTACAAGAATTAGGAAATTACACAATAGGCACTACTATTCTTAAAGCTCAAGTTCAGAGGCTTGGAGGCTTCCATAGCTAGGAAGACCCTTTGAGCATACAATGGGAAACCTGGAGTAATAATAGATCCTTTTGTGTACATGGGATGTCTGCTACAACACATGTGGTTGTTATGCTACTTTAGATAAGCACTTATCTAATTAAGCACAAATATAGTTGTTATAATTAAACTTAACTTATAATTAAGCACAAATGTCTAAGGCAGGGGTTGCCAACCCAGTCCTCAAGTACCCCCTACCAGTCCAGGATTTAGGGATTACCCTGTTGTGTCAAAAGTGTTTTTTTTTCTTTTCTAAAAACACCTTAAACACAACTGGGTAATCCCTAAATTCTGGACTGTTAGGGGGTACTTAAGTCACTTGAGGAATGGGTTGGGTTGGGAACCACTGGTCTAAGGGGTTGTTATATGTAGAGGCTCAGAATAGCGAAATTTTTAACTTGTTTCCCCTTCCTCCAAATCCATATTTCCTCTAATTTATCTGTTTTGCCCAATTTTTGTACCACAAGGTTTAACAAGCACCTGGACCGTGGTTATAACTCCTGTTGCCGGACCGATCTTTATTTTGTGCCCCTTGAAGGCTCCAAGCTGTCCAAAAAACGCTCTGAACAAATAGAAAGAGCACGAAGAGAGAGTGAACAGAGAGCTCGCGAAGAGCGTGACCGGGAACGTGAGAGGGAGCGTGAGCTGGAGAGGAATGCGGTGAGCGATTCAAGTCTTCATGTCATCCTGGAATCAAGTGTTTTTTTCTTCTTGAATGTAGTGACCATAAGACCTAATTTGGCCCTGTATCTTTTTCTCTATAAATATTTTTGATTAGCACCTAGTTTATAAAAAGCCCTCACACCACCTGTACTGTATGACAAGAGTTTTGTGTCTTTCATCCAGTTATATCTGTATGTCCCTTAGGATCCACATTTTATCTAACATGTATCAATCTAGCTCTTTGCTTATATCCAGTACAGTATCTATAATTCAGCAAAGTGGAAATTTACGGTTCACTAGCAACGCATTAAAAGATGCCCTTTGTACCTTAGAGGAGTATATGGAGACAGAACTTCTTTCCATGGCCAACTCCATGCGCTGGAGCCACCTTCCACCATTGTTATACTTCACCCAAATTTAAATATGTTTTTCAAAAAACATGTAACTTTATTTATCTTAATGACGTTTTCAGATGCAAACCACCCTTTTCTGGATTGTTTTTACTAGTCCACCACTAGGTTTCATCTGGTTATGGCATCTATACTGGTTTTAAACTGTAATATATATTGTAGATAGATAGACATATCACTTCATTATATGACACCACAAATTGGGGATAACAAGAGTCAGACAAATATTAATAACCTGCTTCCTCCTTTTCATTTTAGAAAATGGAGTCTCGCTCTCATGACTGCCCTCAGCTCTGTCCTCAACAGCCTCCTCATCACCCCTCCTTAACTATGCCATCTCCATCCTCAGCACCCTCACGGCCTCCTCACTTTGAACCTCCTGGAGCTGTGGCTGCTGTTCCTCCTTATCTGGGTCCTGATACTCCTGCCCTTCGCACCCTTAGTGAATATGCTCGTCCCCATGTACTTTCACCAGCTGGACGAGCTCCACAGCCTGGACACCCACCTCACCACCCTTTCTACCTACCCTTAGGAGACCCACTTCTTGCCTATAACCTTCCTGCTGTGTTTGCAAGTGACCCTTCAAGGGCTGAGCGTGAGCTTAGGGAGAGGCTGAAGCCTGGGTATGAAGTGAAACCAGGGGAGCTGGATACCCTTCACCCATCCTCCCTTCCTCTCCCACCTCCTCCAGCATCACACCATCAACCTCCACAACCTCCTCCATCTGCTGCAGGTGTACCTCCTCAAATGGGGTTACATCCTGCTTTCACTTATCATCATGGGCAACATGCACATGCTCATGCCCTAGAAAGAGAGAGGTTGACCTTGGGGGCTGCTGGTGGAGGACCTGGTGGAGCACCTGGAGGACCTGGAGCAGCAGGAGGTGGCCGTGGAGAGCTGTCCTATGCAGAGCGTCTGGCTGCAGAGCGACAGCATGCTGAAAGAGTGGCGGCTCTGAGTGGAGATCCTCTCACAAGACTCCAAATGCTGAATGTGACCCCTCATCATCACCAGCATTCACACATTCACTCCCACTTACACCTACACCAGCAGGATGCTATCCATGCAGGTGAGTGCTGCAGTAGAGTAAAAAGTAGAGTTTGGCATGGTCAACCATTTTTTTGGATTTTTGAACATAGGGATCAGGCTCTCAAAATATCCTTAGGAGATTTATCAAAGTGTCATGCTCTGAAAAGCAGAGCAAAACTGTAAAGGTGGTTTAATCATCAATGGAATGTTTCTGCTAATTCCATTGGTTTTTTTATGGTAATTGGCCCACCTTTCAGAAAATGACAATTTAATAAATCTCCTTGAGAGCATCAGTTTGTTTCTGTCTCTCAAACAAACATTTGCTATTCATCCTGCACTGTAGAAATATCTGGCACTATATAAATAAAAGATTATTTTTGACTCTCCTCTCTCTCCGATCTAGCCTCTGCTGCTGTGCACCCCCTTATGGATCCACTAACTTCAGGATCCCATCTCACACGGATCCCATATCCTGCAGCTGGTCTACCAAATCCCCTGATTCCCCACCCCTTGCACGACAGTGATGTGCTACGGCAGCAAATCTTTGGTGAGCGAGAGAATCAGGTCATATATAATGTATGAATTACTATTTCATATAGTATGTAATCTTTATTGAGCTTCAATCAAAATTATTGTATTCCCAAGAGTAAGTGAATTGCTACCCGGTGACTTAAGCAGTGCTGTAAATAATATAATCCAGAATCAGTATAGTGCTCATTCAATAACTCAGTGATTGTCCCATGAACAGTTGGAGAACCTCAGATGTTGTCCTAGAAAGAATCCAGAAGTTATCAGTAAAACATTTGGGGGATTTTATACTTTGTTGGTGGATTAGGTGGAGGTTAGGTGGATAATCTGAAAAGTTGGAAGTGAAACAGGCGGAGAATCTCAGATCCATTGGAACATGTGGACAAGTCCAGATGTTTTCGGTGGAATAGGTGGAGAACTCAGAGGTTGTTAAAGGAACAGGAAGAGAAAGTGAGACCTTTTTTGTAGAATAGGTAGAGAATTTTAGAGACTGTCGATAAAACAGGTAGGGAATGTAACACGTTTTTAGTGGAATGGGTGGAGAATATAAGAGGTCATCAGTGAAACAGGTGGAGAATCTAAGAGGTAATCTATCAGTGGAACAGGTGAGGAATCTTTTATAGTGTATGGGGAATTCACTAGAGATAATTAGGAAAACAGGTGAAGAACCTCGGAGATGGTCAGGGAGCAGGTGGATAATCTAAAAGGCTGTTCGTGTATATCTCAGAATTTGTTAATTGCATGGGCAGAGGAATTTGCAAGTGCATTTAATTGGTGTATTTGCAGATTATCAGAAGTAAAATGCATTCTAGGTGCTGCTATATAAGGATTAATTGAGATATCTTGGCAATAAAATGTTTTTTTAGATGTCTTTTCATACAGTGTTCTAACTTTTTTTTCCACAGATATCCAGACTGTAACACTCTGCCCCCCATTGTATATGACATTTTCTGTAGTGTTCTAAACAGTTGATATCTAGTTATACTGACTGTAAAACATTCCCCTGGAATAGGTGAGATTTTCTGTAATGTTATAAACACTTTATTTACAGGTATCCAGACAGTTAAACACTCCACTTGTTTTATATGTAATTTTTCTGTTGGATTATAAATGGTTTATTTACAGATATCCAGACACTAAAAAACTCCCCTGGTTTAGATGACAGTTTCTGCAGTGTTATAAATGGTTTATTTATATTGTTCCCTGGGTTCAGCGCATAACAGAATGGAGGGGGCCCGCCATCCGGTCACAAGGCACTGTCAGTCAACTGCAGCGAGAGGTAAATTAAGTGTGGGTGCACGGGCTGGGCGGCCCAGGCCCCTGTCTAACCCCCTGGCCCCTAGGCGACCATTTTACATCTCCTTCTGGTTAATCTGGCTATTATAGAGAGAGAGGCTGTATCTAGCTGTAGGAGGGGCTATAATGATGGGCTATACAAAGCAATAGGGGGCTATAATGATAGCTTACATATGGTGTAATAGAAGGGGCTATAAAAAGGGCTATATGTAGCAGAAGGAATGACTAAACTAGTTACATGACCACATAAAATGTCACTATAGCCCTTCCTACTGGAGTACTAGGAAGGGTTTTAGAGACGGGTTATGGGGAACAATAGGAGGAGTTATAGTGATGTGTAATGTGGGGCAGTAGGAGGGGCTAAATTGTTGCGTTATGTTGAATAGTGGGAACGGGTACAGTAATACATTATACGGAGCAGTAAGTGAGGTTATAGTGATACATTATATGGAGCAGTAAGTGGGGTTATAGTGATACATTATACGGAGCAGTAAGTGAGGTTATAGTGATACATTATATGGAGCAGTAAGTGAGGTTATAGTGATACATTATATGGAGCAGTAAGTGGGGTTATAGTGATACATTATATGGAGCAGTAAGTGAGGTTATAGTGATACATTATATGGAGCAGTAAGTGAGGTTATAGTAATACATTATACGGAGCAGTAAGTGGGGTTATAGTGATACATTATACGGAGCAGTAAGTGAGGTTATAGTAATACATTATACGGAGCAGTAAGTGAGGTTATAGTGATACATTATATGGAGCAGTAAGTGGGGTTATAGTGATACATTATACGGAGCAGTAAGTGAGGTTATAGTAATACATTATACGGAGCAGTAAGTGAGGTTATAGTGATACATTATATGGAGCAGTAAGTGGGGTTATAGTGATACATTATATGGAGCAGTAAGTGAGGTTATAGTAATACATTATACGGAGCAGTAAGTGAGGTTATAGTGATACATTATATGGAGCAGTAAGTGGGGTTATAGTGATACATTATATGGAGCAGTAAGTGAGGTTATAGTAATACATTATACGGAGCAGTAAGTGAATAGTGATACATTATATGGAGCAGTAAGTGGGGTTATAGTGATACATTATACGGAGCAGTAAGTGGGGTTATAGTGATACATTATACGGAGCAGTAAGTGGGGTTATAGTGATACATTATATGGAGCAGTAAGTGAGGTTATAGTGATACATTATACGGAGCAGTAAGTGAGGTTACAGTGATACATTATATGGAGCAGTAAGTGGGGTTATAGTGATACATTATACGGAGCAGTAAGTGGGGTTATAGTGATACATTATACGGAGCAGTAAGTGAGGTTATAGTGATACATTATATGGAGCAGTAAGTGGGGTTATAGTGATACATTATATGGAGCAGTAAGTGGGGTTATAGTGATACATTATACGGAGCAGTAAGTGGGGTTATAGTGATACATTATACGGAGCAGTAAGTGGGGTTATAGTGATACATTATACGGAGCAGTAAGTGGGGTTATAGTGATACATTATACGGAGCAGTAAGTGGGGTTATAGTGATACATTGCGGCACGGAGTGTAAGTAAGTATAGTGATACATTATGTAATGAGCAGTAAGGGTTATAGTGATACATTATACGGAGCAGTAAGTGGGGTTATAGTGATACATTATACGGAGCAGTAAGTGAGGTTATAGTGATACATTATATGGAGCAGTAAGTGAGGTTATAGTGATACATTATATGGAGCAGTAAGTGGGGTTATAGTGATACATTATACGGAGCAGTAAGTGAGGTTATAGTGATACATTATATGGAGCAGTAAGTGAGGTTATAGTGATACATTATACGGAGCAGTAAGTGGGGTTATAGTAATACATTATACGGAGCAGTAAGTGAGGTTATAGTGATACATTATACGGAGCAGTAAGTGGGGTTATAGTGATACATTATACGGAGCAGTAAGTGAGGTTATAGTGATACATTATATGAAGCAGTAAGTGGGGTTATAGTGATACATTATATGAAGCAGTAAGTGGGGTTATAGTAATACATTATACGGAGCAGTAAGTGGGGTTACAGTGATACATTATACGGAGCAGTAAGTGAGGTTATAGTGATACATTATACGGAGCAGTAAGTGGGGTTATAGTGATACATTATACGGAGCAGTAAGTGAGGTTATAGTGATACATTACACGGAGCAGTAAGTGGGGTTATAGTGATACATTATATGGAGCAGTAAGTGGGGTTATAGGGAGCAGTAAGTATTATAGTGATACATTATACGGAGCAGTAAGTGGGGTTATAGTGATACATTATACGGAGCAGTAAGTGAGGGTTATAGTGATACATTATACGGAGCAGTAAGTGAGGTTATAGTGATACATTATACGGAGCAGTAAGTGAGGTTATAGTGATACATTATACGGAGCAGTAAGTGGTGGGGTTATAGTGATACATTATACGGAGCAGTAAGTGAGGTTATAGTGATACATTATACGGAGCAGTAAGTGGGGTTATAGTGATACATTATACGGAGCAGTAAGTGGGGTTATAGTGATACATTATATGGAGCAGTAAGTGGGGTTATAGTGATACATTATATGGAGCAGTAAGTGAGGTTATAGTGATACATTATACGGAGCAGTAAGTGAGGTTATAGTGATACATTATATGGAGCAATAGGAGGGGCTATAGTGACATCTTATGTGGAGCAGAAGGAGGAGTTATAGCGATGCCTTGTGTGAAGTAGTAATAAACGTATGTGGATATTATATTCACTAAGCATTAGAGAGCAACTGAAGGATTGTGTATTCTAAATGATTGTACTTATGAGTGCATCTCTCTCTCAGCCTCTCCTTACAGGGACCTCCCAAGCTCCTTGTCTGCTCCCCTCTCTGCCGCTCACCAGCTGCAAGCGATGCATGCGCAGTCAGCAGAACTACAGCGCCTTGCCCTGGAGCAACAGCACTGGTTACAGACGCACCACCCCTTGCAGGGAGTCCCTCTCCCCGGGCAAGAAGATTACTACAGGTGAGGCTCCTCCTCGGGCCTATCAATGACCTTGTAAGCGGCACTGTCATTATTTTTTCTTTCAGATTTCTTTTTTTTTTACATCCTTGTATCTTAATGATTGTAATTCCCTTGAGGTCACCTTTATTTTGAACTATTTGTTTTTTGCACTGGATCTCGATGCCTGGGTGACTCTATTCTGTTGTCCTCTATTCATGATATCTGCAGTTTGACCTACTGTGCATATCTCCCCAGTGTCCCAATTTAGCAGTCTCTATTTTGAGCCCAAATTCCCTGTCCATCTTTTCTAACATATTATTGGTGTGTCTGAGTGTATTACAGAGCTCCACAGCAATATTACTCCCAGTAATGTGTTTTAAAACATACTGATTTTTTGACTCATTTATTTTAGTTGAACAACACATTACTGGGAGTGTTATTGCTGTTTTATGTATGTCCCTATTATAGAAAAAATGGACATAGGAAAGAAAAGAGGGACAGAGGGATTTGGGGCCAAAATATGGAGACTTGGGAGGTATAGGTATGTTTGATGGGATACATTTGATAAATGGATTGAAATAATGCTTTACGTAAAGGAAAACTGTCACCTTTCATCAAAATTTTAAAAATACATAGATTTTGTAAATGAAGTATATGTAAACAAAATGATGAAAACTAATCCATAAGAAAATATTCCCTATTTATCTGAATTATAAATAAAGCTAAGTTGAATTAAAATAATAATTAATATATAAATAAATCCTGCACAGTAGCAGAACATAATTAACCCTGTCATGCCTGTGTCTATATAAACCAATTTCTTTTTTTTTTATTGCAGTCATTTGAAGAAGGAAACAGATAAAACTCTGTAATGCTGGGTCAAAAGTAATTTCATTGATTAATGGCATCTGAATGGTTAAGAGAGTAAGACCAAGTAAAAGGCTGCAGAGTTGAAGCTGCAATCTTCTAAGGTTTCAGAAGAGACACCCCATGAGAGAGAGACACGGTGCAACAGAGAGACAACCCATGACGGAGAGACATGTTACAACAAGGATACCCCATGACAGGGAGACATCCTAAAACAGAGACCCCATGACAAAAATAGAGCTTCCGACAGTGATACATCCTTGAACAGAGACAACCTAAAACAGAGACACCTTACGAAAAAGACACCCCACTACAGAGAGACCTCGTGACAGCAATAATTCCTGAAACAGAGATTTCCTGAAACAAAACCACCCCACATTACAGATAAACATTCTGTCACACAGAGACACCCTAATAGAGCGACATTCTAAAGATTAAGAGACACTCCATAAAATCCCATGATAGAGACATCATGCAAAAAAGAAACACCCACTGATAGAGGCACACTCTGCAACAGACACCCCTGGACAGAGAGACATTCATGACAGGTCAGATTGCCATGATAGAGATACACCCTCCAACAGAGGGAGACCCCACTGGACAGACACTTGATGACAGAGTTACATCCCACAAACTGACACTTCAAAACAGAGAGACATACTGCAACTGAGACAACTTATGACAAAGAGACACCTTACAAAAGACACATACTTGGCTGCTGGGAAACATCCCGTGACAGAGAGACATTGTGCAATAAAGAGATGCTCTTACAACTGAGATTTGACCTGAAAATGAGAGACAAACTCTGACAGAGAAATGTACTACAACACAGAGAACAACACACACACACACACTGAAAAAGAAAGACATTTATTGATAGGGAGACATTCCATGACAAAGATACACCAACTAAAAGACACCCCATGACAGAGAGGCTCCCTGTAACGGAAATACACCGCAGAGACTCGAGACTGACACGCTGTAGCAGACATTTTGAGACAGACACCTTCTTGCAGACATGCACTGCGTGACTGACACCCTGTGACAGACACCTTGTGACAGATATACACCGTGTGACAGACACCATGTGACAGACACTGTGTGACTGACACACTGTGACAGTCATGCCCTGTGTGACAGCCATTCTGTAACACACAGATATTGTGTGACAAACACTCTGTGACCTGTGAAAAAGCTACAGCCTTTTCATCAGCCTCAGATTGGTCGGACAGACATCATGCAACAGACAGACACACTATGATAAAAAACATTGTATGACAGACACCTTGTGACAGACATATATTGTATGACAGACATTCTGTGATAGACATTTTGTTACAAACCCTCCATAACAGAGAACCAAGGACGGCTCAGAAGAGATGCACACTATAAAAGAGAGCAAACCATCCTTTGATTACAGGTGTAACAAGCTGCAATCCTGTGGACTTGAGAGGGCTTCACATCCTTTTAAAAGATGGATCCTAAATGTTGCAGTGTTTTTATTAGAACGCATGAGACATCTCTGCCTACCGGCTGAACGTGTCACCTCGAGATGTCCTCTAACATCAGCTCTTCACAGGAATCCATTACCAGGGAGGACATATGATAAGGGGCGTCATATGACACAAATTGGGACATAACGGGAAAAAATGGACAGAGAGACCCCTAATGACACCTCCATTTTACCTTGTGGTCAAGCAAGACAGCTACTGTCAGAGACATCCAATGACAAAAAAGTGACAGCTTGTTATATGAAACCAACAGTCTCTTCAACATTATCAAGTTTTTGTATGTAATGTCCACTAAATGCGTGTCTGGGTATGAATGATCTGGCCTCACAACCCCTGGGAACGTATGTCTCGGTCTGAATAATAGCACTCTCACAATCCCTCAACCACATGTCTGGGTGTGAATAATATTGCCCTCGGAACCCTTTAAATGTATGTGTGCGTGTGAATAATATTGTCACTGCTGATTGGACAGTATGTGTGGGTGTGAATAATATTGCCACCGCTGATTGGACTGTATGTGTGGGTGTGAATAATATTGTCACAACTGATTAGACAGTATGTGTGGGTGTGAATAATATTGTCACTGCTGATTGGACTGTATGTGTGGGTGTGAATAATATTGTCACCGCTGATTGGACTGTATGTGTGGGTGTGAATAATATTGTCACAACTGATTAGACAGTGTGTGTGGGTGTGAATAATATTGCCACCGCTGATTGGACTGTATGTGTGGGTGTGAATAATATTGTCACAACTGATTAGACAGTGTGTGTGGGTGTGAATAATATTGTCACCGCTGATTGGACTGTATGTTTGGGTGTGAATAATATTGTCACCACTGATTAGACTATATGTGTGGGTGTGAATAATTTTGTACTCACAAACCCTCTCAATGTAAGTCCGATGTGAATTGTATCATCTTGACAACCCCTTTGGAAAGTATGTGTGGCTGTTTGTAAGATTGTTGTAACAACCACATGCAATATATGTCCGGGCGTGAAATGTACGCCCGTGTGTGACTGATATCTGCTTTGTGACATGTGTATCAGGCTGACAATAATGTTTGTGAACTTTATGTGACTCAGCACCAGAACCCATACCAAGCCTATTTGCACTCCTTCACCAGACCTCACTAATCACCCTTATATAGGCCCTCACTACTTGTCCTCATGGCATATGTCTTCACCCCAGAGCTTACTATCTTTGCACTGGTTCCCACACACCGGCCATCACCATTTAACCATTAATATCTGCATTTGAATTTAGTATCCACACTCCTTGTATTGATATCCATATAGGCCTTACCCACTCACCCTCTTGGTATTGGCACCTGTACATGGGCACTTATACCATACCTCACTATTTATCCAGACACTGCCATCATTATTTACTTGCCTTGATTGGTACACTCACTGGTCCATACTAATCAGCCTCCTGTAACCTACATACACATTGGCCCTCACTAGTCACCCTCCTAGCTCCACCATGCACTGTGGCCTCAATATTCATCCTTCTTGTGTCACCCACCTGGCACTGCCCCCTGGCCATTTCTATTTACCCTCCGGGTATCAACAACCATACCAGTCTCATCCTCCTGAAAACAACAGTCATGCTGGACCCCACTCTTAACCTTCCAGACACCAACGCGTTATTTTTCCTGCAGCCACGGTCATCTAAACCGGGCATCACTGCTCACGCTTGTGGCTTTGGCACCCATACTATCCACACTATTCGCTGTACTGGTATCAGCACTGACCATAACTATTCACCCTTTTTTACCTTCATAATGTCGGGAGCCACTTAGCCCCCAATTATTCACCAATTAATAATTTTGATAGTTTCCCAAATTACGCCTGATTTATTTTATAAATGCACAGCAAACCATGGACAAGAATCACCACATTCTTTCAGAATGAGTAGTTGGACATCATTGGATTCATATGTGTCTTGAGTTTGTACAGATCAGTATAAGTGTGCATGTCCATTAACCTGTATATATTTGTATGTGTGTGCACTATTGTAACTTGTACATATATATATGTGCGTGTACACAAGCATCTTGTACATATATGTGTATGCGTATGTGTGTGTGTGTGTATATATATATGTGTGTGAGTGCACGCATGTAAGTGTGCAAATGTGTTTGTGTGTTTAGGAATGTATCTATGCGTGTGTATTTGTGCGCGTGTGTAAGAAGCAGGGGGTGTGAGTGTCTGTGGAAATATAATTGTATAAATATATATGGATATAATTCCTTTCCATCAGCAAGGATCCTCCCGTTTTGTACGCTTCCCTCCTCCTGCGCCTATGCACAATGACTTGAAACGGACATTTGTGTAATATGCAGAGGGGGCTCAAATAAAGTGAACAAGCACTTAAATCTGTGTGTGTAAATAATAAAATAAAATCTTCTGTAGAGATCAGCCTCCAGGTAGAGGTGGTATATACATTAAACCAAGACAACACACTGCGCATATGTGATGGACCTGAATATAAAAGCTAAAATTAAAACCACATTAGTGGTATTACTGGTAGAAAGGTAAAGGCTCTGTAACCTACGTACAGCACCATAAACATTAGAGACAATACTATTATTCCCAGTAGGGCTGGGCTCACTGCCAACACTATGGACATTGACATATAACGCTGTTAGTATAGGCTGCTGCAGAGCAGGACTCTCTAAACTCACTAAACTGTGAAATTTGGGAAAATCATTGATTGTGAATTAAAGGACAAAATGTCAATTTAGTGAGTAACCCACTAACCGCTATTTTGTATCACAGGACTGTAGTTATTATTATTATTATTAATAATATGGATTCTGCCAGTGATATACAGAAATATCATCATTAGCAATCTGTGTACTGCACTACAGACACTGTTGGCGACACACACACAGAATGGCAATGCTGGCTGCATAGCAGGATTTATTAACCCAATATTTGTGTACAAGGACCTCTGAATCATTATACACAGCACTGTGGTGTAATATTAAACCTCCCCACTGCAGACACTGTGCCTTTAAGAACCCCCCACCTCCACTCCGGCTACAACGTGAGCAGCTCCGGTCTCCTAGCAACACTTCGTGAGAAGGAGGGGCGGGGTGCCTCGAGAGATCGCCTGATGACGCAATGCTTTTTAGCCAATCGTACAAGATAAATTTGCATATAACAAAATGTCGAATTGTGAAAGACTTTTGAGATTTTTATATATTTTGCTAAAGTACAAAAAATTATTTTAAGCAGATAATTTTACGTTTAGGTGTCGCAGATTGAAAGATTGACAAAACAGCAATTTACTAATGTCTCTCCGCAATCTTTATACGGGATTGTTGGAGATGGGTTCTGTGAGCTGAGCTTTTTCGGTAGTGATTATAGCTCTTTTGCTTTTTGTCTAGTAGGTTCCTGCGGGTAGCGGGAACCACCCCATCTACTGGTTAAAAATAGAATGAAATGTGATCAAGATTTCATTGAACAGTTATTAGATCACAACGT